GTTTTAAGGTCCCTTTCCTGGGCTGTGCCTACTTAACCTGTGATGGTAAATCTCTTCCAGTCAATGTTTATTGAGAACATTTGGGTTTTGTTCAAGCTTTATCTATATATTGCACAGTAATTAAAGGTACCAGGCTGGTACAACTGATCCTATTGGATGATTAATAACCATACTTAAAGGCCCATACTAATCTGGACAAAGGGGATTTAAGGGACAGTTTTGTTCCTTGCCCTGGAAGGTTGACAGTGTCCCTGGGACACTTCCCAGGGACTATGGGAATCTCTTGATATGTCCTGTAACTGTGATGAGTCACTTGTCCTCTTGTTCGCGGAAGTCATGGAGACCCCACCAGTGGGAATCAAACCCGTGTCCAGCCTGCAAAGAGGAGGGTAAACACAGAGGAAACATTTCCTCCATGCTTCCAAGCGAAGCCCTGGTCAAGAAGCAACTCTTGACTTATCTTCATGTAGATGGAACTGGTAAAAGAAAAGCCTAAGGAGTCAGGGGCTCCCCCCAAGCCCATGTGACCCCTGAGGACCAGCTCCTCAACCAACCTTAAAATAAAAGTAAATTGGTTTATTTGGGCCAAATGCATGGTCTTAAATACCCCAAAGGAAATTATAACCAAAAAATTAATCAGTATATTTCTTTAAGAATCCAAAGGATTGCATTTCCCAGACAATAGAATTAAGTCCAGGTAAAATGTTAAGACAATTATTTCTCAGTAGTGATTTTTTTCTAAACAAGAAAATGCTGCTCAGGTGTAAGACTTCAATTCTTGGTCTCCAATACTGTAGTGCCCACCTGCAGCTACTATTGTTCTAAAATGATGGTTAAATTTATTTTCTCTCCTTGTCTAGAAGAATGATTCTAGCTACTCCAACAGCTATCAGAGTGCCTGAAAACAGATCCTGAGTTCATCACTCTCAAGTCCAGCCTTGGTGGCCAAAAAAAAAAAAAAAAAAAAAAAAAGAGGAAGAACACAATAGATGGATGCTTTTAGAAGCGTCCATCAAGAAATTCCAATGGACTTTAATTTGGACATTTAAAATTTGCCCCTGTTCTGATTTTTTTCTGGTTCCCTGGCTAGAACTTGTAATGCTAACTATTCTTGCTTTCACTTCTCCTTCATATCTCCCAGGCACTGGTCAAGGACTTTCTTCTCTCCCTACAGTTAAAACTTATGCAATTTGGGAGTCTTTTAGATAGACCTACTGAAGAGGTACCCCAATTGCCACACCCTGCGTCCCTGTTCAGCATGGAAGAAGCCAGAGTGGTCTGCGTCCCGATTCCCCATGGGATTACCTCTTCAAAGTAATAAAAATAGAAGGTAAAAATTAGACAGTTTTAAAGTAACGACTCCAAAAGAAAATGACCAGTTTCTTTCTGAACTAGGAGCTGGAAATTTCATTAGATGTGCCAGTAAACTTATCCCTGAGAATAGAGATGCCAGAACCATCAGAAAGGAGGTATATGTGCCTATGTGGGAGAAAAATGCTGTCTTTGTGCAGATCAATCTGGCAAACTTAGAATGCAAAGCAACTGCTAAAAAATAAAGGCTGGAGAAGAGGGAAATGAGTCTTTCTGGAAGAATGTCTAGAGAATTTGGGGTCCCTGGCTGGCCCCATTTACAGGACCTGTAGTCATGATTCTATTAATCCTTCTGATAGGGCCATGTATAATAAATATTCTGAGTAAATTTATCAAAAAGCCAGTAGAAGCTATCAGATTCCAGGTGATTGATCAAGAATATCACCGGGTTCCTCTAGAATAAACATAAGGGATTATGTCAATGAAGAGGGAAATATTATGGAAGTAGAACTTATCAGATGCTAAAGGATTTTGCAATGTGATGATAATTAAGAACTCTGGGATGGGGAAGTAAACAGGAATCTTCTCCTGCCCCTTTGGTTATCCTGGATGTCTTTGTTTCCCAAAGCTATCACATTCCTGTATAGGCCTAAGGCTTTTGCATTCCTGTAACCTTTGCATTTCTCTTACCTCTGCTGCCCTCTGTTGTTGTACTTAATCACCATGTATAGGCTATGTACCTTTTGCTTGCATTCCTCACATGAGTATAAACACCCCCCAAACCTTGAACAGGGTGTCTGACTCCTTTGATTCGCGGTGTCAGTCCCTCTAGTGTCAAATTAAACTCCCTCTCCTCACCTGATTTCGGCTGTTGATCTCTGATTATTTCCGTAACAAGGGGAGATGGTTCAGTGCTAAAAATGCTTGCTGTGTAAACATGAGTTCAAATCCCTGGAATCCATGTAAAAAGCTGGACATGGTTGCATGAATACGCCTGTAACTCCAGTAGTGTTGAGGTGGCAAAAACAGCAAGCTTCAGGTTCCACGACAGACCTTTTTTTTCATGGGAATAAGGCAGAGTGACAGAGCAGGATACCTAATAGCCTCCTGTGGCCTTTTTGTGGGTACACACACACACACACACACACACACACAAATTAAAAAAAAGAGGAGTGAAAATCCTCAACACTGCCACAGCCATGTCTTTTGTAGTAACTCATTGATCAAGTCAAATACCACCTTCTGGAACATTCTGTCCGAGGGCACCCCTTCCCTTTTGGGGCTGTCAGCTTACATAATATGTGGTCCTGCCAGGAAGTGTGCAACTCTTAATGACTGTGGACTCAAGGTCCTACTACCCTACAGCAGATCTGCATTTTGCAGATCACCTGTTTCAACTGAGAGGTCATGGAACGATACCCAGTTTTAATTATTCAGCTTACCACATGATACTAACCAGGGGAAACCATGAAATGCATGTGTATGTTTATTTCTATGAGCTCTTTTTTTTTTTGAGACAGGGTCTCCCTGTAGCCCAAGCTGGTTTGGAACTCACTTTGTAGACCAGGCTGGCCTCAATCTCACGGGGACCCTCCTGCCTCTGCCTCCCAAGTGCTGGGATTTAAGGCATGCACCACCATGGACTAGCTACTTCTACCAGTTTAACACTAACATATTGTATGTGTTTTAAATACCATGAAGCTGGCTGTGGCTGTGGCTCGGTGGTGGAATGCCTACTTAGCATGTTCAAGGCCCTGGGTTCCATCCCCAGCACTGCAAAGCAAAGCAAAACAACAAAATAAAAACATAAAGTTCAGAAAAAGCTGAATGTTAACATGCTGCTTTCTCTCTGTTGTCAAGGGTAAGATGTCTTCAGAAAGACAATTTTAAGGTTTTCTGAATCAGGGTTCCCTGATTCCCCCTCCCCCCACCTGTGGCGGCCAGAGGTCAATCTTAGATGTTTACCTTAGTAACTGTTCTTCTTTTTTTAGATGGCATCTTTTACTGGCCTCTGTGATTGAGTTAGGCTGGGTGGCCAGCCAAATCCCCAGGGTCCATGACTCTGCCTCTTCAGCACTGGGTAGAAAGTTGGCACCATCACGCCCAGCTTTATGCATGTGTGCTAGGGATCATATTGGTCCTCATGTTTGTGTGGCGGGCACTTTACCCTTCTGAGCTCTCTCTCCCAATCAGGTCCAGGCTCTGCTTGCAGTGTGAAGTTTGAGTAAAGCATTTATTACTTATAACCACTGTATTCGTTTCCTCACCATGGGCCTTTAAATGAGCATGTAAATGCACTGGGGCTCAGGCCCTTTCTGGGGTGTGTGCAACACAGGCAAGTATGGGTCTCTGAAGTCACCTTCTTGGGTGAAGCAGAAGGCTAGGGCAGGAAGTGTGTCAACTAGGTAAGCAGGGGCACCCCAGGAGCTATGTCCCAGACTCCAGCCAAACACTAAATTAAACCACAAAACAGCAAAGGTGTCAAAAAAACCGAGTGAGAACCTTGGAGCAGGCTTCCTTCGCAGGCTTCCATGCAAGCACGAGACAACCACCACGTTTTCTGAGCTGTGGTGCCTACATCACTAAAATCAACTTAGACTTCTATTTCTAGCAGATGTCCCAAATTGGATTTTTCTCTCTTTTTATAAAAATCAGAAGCTAAGCTGGGCATGGTGGTGCACACCTTTAATCCCAGCACTGGGGAGGCAGAGGCAGGCGGATCTCTGTGATCAAAGTCAGCCTGGTCTACATAGTGAGTTCCAGGATAGCTGGGGCTACAGGGAAACCCTGTCTCAAAAAGACCCCCCCCCAAAAAAATAAGCTATTTAAAATCTGAATCCAAGTGCAAGCAGAGGTCTGTGACAGCCCTAGCTGGAGCCAAAGATTTCCAGGATGAACCCAGGAGCCTGGGACATGCTCTTCCAGGAGTGGGTGGGACCTGTCCTGGTGCTGCCCTTTGTGGTTTAGAAATCCGTCTTCCTTTACCCCTTGTGGTGCTCCCAAGTTGTTTGGGCTGGAATCTGAGGAGACAACTGCCTTTTCATGTTTTATACATTTTATTCATACATTTCTCCAACTTTGAATGACAAAAGCCCAATTCTATGGTTTCCCATTACACAGCATCCTACAGGTATGTATATTCTACAAAGAATACTATGCAGTTTCTCTTTTCCCCTGCCACATGAGATAACTGATTAGGGTTTCCACTTGTACTGTGCTGGTGGGCACCAGCATTGTGGTTGTTCAGGCGACAGGGCAAAGGGATCAGGATGGGAGGGCGTGTGCTAAGGCATGTAAATAGATACACACAGAGAGAAAGAAAAGCAGGATGGTTACAAAGAATCCGAACCTTTCCAACTCCTTCAGCTCCTCTTTGCAAGCTAAGGCTTTTGCTGTACCCTGGGAATATTACAATTGGATACCGTGATACAACAACCATTAACATCTCTCTCTTTTTATCACTGAGACAATACTTCAAAACCTTTTATAAAAAGGCAATAATACATACAGAAAGAAAGAACATGTTGGCAAAACTTTATGCAAAACCACCCCAGCACTGAGTCTGAATGGCGACGTGAAACATGATGCTGTAGGGCCAGCACCACCCGCCTGCACAGAGGACATCCCAGGCAACATCTAAGACTGGAAAGCAACCCTCCCCCCCCGCCCCCCACCATTCTTGGTCTCTGTCAAATGAAAAATAAAGGTGAGGCCACTTGCTGTGGAGGAATGCCTATTTCTACCCATAAACACAAGTCCCTCTACTGAGTTTCTCTCTCCTGGGTCCAGAGATGCCTAGCGCAGGTCCCACTCTGTCACATGCTAGAGAGAATGGATTTAACTCTAAGCAGGAGCAAAGCTCCTTGTCGTTGCCCATACATAGACATGGGGTCGTGCTTGGGGCCAGAAATGAGGTCTCCCATCTGGCAACAAACATCTCCTCCCATTTCCTTTTGCTTGATCCATTTGCACAGGTTCAGGGGAGTTGATGGTCAGGTGAGAGGTGGTGGGAATTCACAATTGTCTCTTATCCCCTTAAGAGCTAAGACTTGGGGAGGTGCTTGCCCCAGAGATGGTGTTGCCCTCTCCCCATTGCTCTGCTGCTGTGGGCTGAGAGTGCCAGAGGGAAGTGCACATAGGAAGGGTGGGACACTCTTCCTCTTCCCCCAACTTCCTGGATGAGCTTGATAGCTGAACTTCACTCGGTAAACTGGGCAATCTGAGACTTCCCACAAGTTTAAGGCAAATGGATGTGTGCAGTGCCCAAGCACAGTCAATTATACAATAAGCCTCACCAGTACGCTCCTGTCCTGGACACACCATCACAGAGGGAGACCCTATTTCTAAAGGGGTCAGTGAAGGGCAAGCGCCCTCAAATGAAAGGAGTGGTGAGAGTGTGCAGCCCTTCCGAAAGCCACAGTAAGGAGCAAGCCAACTTTCTAACGGGATTAATGAGAGGCGCAGAAGAAGAGAGATGTAGTGCGCCTGGGGATCCAACACCCTTAAAGCCCTTAAGAGAATGGGCCCAGTCGGTTGTGTTCAGTTCTGAAAAACAACCATAGACACCCACCAGGCCGCTGACCTCAAACAAGAAGGGATGAAGACAGCCAGGGGCTTGTTTTTGGAATGTTCATCACAGTGTGCCCTCTACTCTTTCCAAGGGGACATATTTTATTAAGAATCCACTAAGCAGGCAGTTTTCTTGGTAGTGTTAGTGGCAAACTAAGCTTAATTTTGTCTCATGTAAGAAACTGACCTTCGATGCTAAAAGAACATCCCATCAGGGGAAGACAAAGGCATGCTTTGGGCAGTTTCCATTTTGGGCATCTCCATGGATCCAGTATACTGGAGGGTGGCCCAACTGACTGAACTTTTGCAAAGAATGAACTGGAAGCCTTCATGAAGAGACACCTACAAGTGATGGAAAAACAAGAGAAATCTGAGATCAAAAGCTTAAAAAAGAGACTATAACTTCAAAGGAAGGCTTGTCCTGTGTACCTGCTCCAGGACTTGGACACAGGGAAGGGGACACTCCCTGCTTTCCTTTGCGCAGTGGGGAGCTGCAGTTTTAGATATTCTGCTATCAGTAGGATGGGCTGACACTACGCCTTCTGAATGCAAATAACAAGAAGTAGGTCAACCACTTTTCCTTTCTGAGCAGTTATTTTAAACCATCTCACCTGACAGGAGGTGCATTTAATTGCATTTTAAAGAGTTACAATGTTATCTTGACACTGGGGAAACTTCCAGATGAATTAAAATGAGCAACATTTTCCTTTTCAGTGTTCAGATAGGAATGTGCTGCCTGTGCAAAGTAATTACAGCCTATGATTAGAAAAATCAGGACACTTCATTTTTTGGTTTTTTTTTTTTAAACAAAGAGCTTCACAGAGCCAACACTCCATCTCCTGTTGTGGGGAGTGGGGCTGGGGTGGCAGAGAGGACCCTCAATATGGCTTTCCAGTGCCACTGATCTAGTAATCTGGTCTTTAAAAGGGGAAGAAATGGTTCCGTTGGTGCAGTGGAGGTGGTGAAGCTTCTAGCAGTTTCCTCCGATCTCACAGTGGATGATTGTACTGTAGCAGAATATACTGGCATGACTCTGACTTCAAAAATGTTTTTTCCTGCTAGGTCAGAAAGACACTGCTTTAGAGAAGTGCATTAGTGGGAAAGAACAGATGACCTGTTGGAGAAGTCACTGAGTTCTAGGTGTGGGGATTTCACCATCTGCACAATGGCAGGAAGGATGCCCATCTGTACCCTTCTCCCACAGCCCCTGGAATGGTGAGGAGAGGGGAGGGGTGCTCAACGCCATAGCGCCTCTTCCACAGTGTGCGGCTGCAGGTGTTTAAGTTGCCCTCTCTTTCCTCCTTTGTTCACTCCCCCTTTATGAACATGGTGGATAGCTACAGAAAGGCATTGGCAGCATCTCTGGAGATTGGGTCTCAAAAGGGCAAGTGGGAGGGTATGAGGCCTTCTGCCAGAGGGAGGGACTTTCCTGCTTCCCACATGTTGGTTGTAGTCTTTGTGCTTCACTGCAAAAGAGGTAGAGCAGGTACTGTGCTACCGAGAAGAGCCCAGCTTGTGGTCAGTACCACTGCGGGAATGGTGTCTGGCCTGGACACCAGTTAGATTGAGATCAGACCTACACAGCCCTAAGCAACCCGAGTGGGTCTCTGGACAGCTAGCACAAACCCACTGTCAGCTCATCTCTGGTGTGGTTGTTTGGTCACAACACTGGGGGGCCAGAACACAAGTCGTTCACACATCTTGTTGGTAAGTTGCAGACCCATCTGGGCACTGACAACGGCATAAAAACAGAAACCAATCAATATCATGTAATCATAGGTGGGGAAGGTGGGGTGCTGAGAATGGAAGAGGACTATGCACACAGAAGTGCCTTCTCTGTTCAGTCCCTTAAGGGGAGTCCAGAACACATTCTGCACACCCTGTGAAGGCACGGAGTGACAGAGGCCGTCTAACCCACAAGAAACAAAAGCGATGGTATATTTCTAAGGATCACAGGGTCATCTAAGTGCCTCATCCTCTCACATGCGAAGGGGGAACACTCGTGACCTCTGGCAAAGAGCCTGGGAACCCCAGCCTGAGCTTCCCATACTGATTGTGTGATGATATGGTAGGGGCATGAGATGGTGAATGCCTCTAAAGCAACAAGGACAGATGACTCCCCTGTGCCAAGGGATACAGCAAGAGGAAGCGGAGACCACAGGTGGCCCTGCGAGTAGGCTGTGGTCCAAGCTGTCCCCTGGCACGCTGCTTTGTTGCCCTGCCAACTCACTCCTGGGCCTCTGGTAGGTTGATGAGCATCTAACGAATTATAAAATTGAAAAGATTATCGGCTTGGAAACCTGAACAAATCTAGACTGAAATGAAGGACCCAAAGGCATTTAATATTGAACACATGAAAGGAAGTGTATTTAAAAAACTTGGTCAGACTGTGCTGTCAGGTGTCGCGTTAAAGGGATTTACAGGCTGTTATAGATTCTTCTTTTGGAATCATTCAGTTTATAGCAAATGCCTAAACTGGTTTCCTCATTGCACACTATATTCTCTTCAAATGGGTGCTTAAAACAATTACACATACATTAAAAATCCGCATTTCTTTGCTTAATTAAAACGTTAATACTCTTAGACAACACAGATCTGAAATGGTGAAACCAGCAATACCCCCTCCCACCTTACAACAAATTAAATTGAGACAAAATTACAAACACATTTCACTACATGATTAGTATTAATAAAAATCAGTTTCTTTTTTTTTTCTGTTTTATAAAGTTGCCCGAAATGCAAGGGATGTGCATAGGTTTACAACTTAGTCATAATAGCAATTTATTCTTATCCCCTGGGTGTGCCCCGTGAACGGAATGTACTTTGTTGTAGATTACAGATTGTTTTGTCCAACACAGACACACCGACGGCATAAACGCTCGCGACTGTCCACATGCATTAAGAGTCAAGACCCAACTTCAAATCTCTAAAAGGTTTACAGGGTGCTTCAAAGAGACAGTATCACATTATCTGGATGTTACATAAAGGACTTAAAAAAAAATACTATTCTAAAAAAAAAGAGAGAAAAAAGGCCTTTAAAAATTTATGACTGTTTTGTAATCACTAGACTAATTATTTCAAATAAATAAAGGAAAGAAAGATATTCCAATCCATAAAATCAGACTCTTAAAAAGAATGTAGTGTTCCACCCCCAGTCAAGGTAACAGAATCATTGTTTATTATTATTAAAATAGATTATAGAAAGCAGCATCTATTTTGTGCAGTTTTTAGGGGCCTTGGAAATAAAAAGCTATGATTTCCAAAAATATAACATTCCAAAGGATTGAATAATACATACATTTAAAGATACATTTTATTAAAGTTTAGGAGAACTGATTAAAAAAGATACTGTCTCTTTAAATTAGTGTGTAATTGTTTTTCTCCTCCTATCTATTTGGACATGACAATAATTATAAATGTAGGTCACACTACAACTAGGTAGTCTCTAGGGACCAGGACCTGCTGACACAAGGCCGGCAACAGAGAGGCTTTTCCACGTAGGAGGCGGCTCCCAGTTACACTCAGATAGCCGGGGAGAAGCCTAATAGACCCAGGAGACTGGGACCCACTGTGGGGCTGTGCACACGAGCTCGACAGCTTCCTCCAGATGTCTGATTGTCTCATCAATTTCGTTGTTGATAATTGTGAGATCGAAGTAGTGTGCATATGTTCTCTGTAAGACATCGGACTCCTTCTGCAGGCGCTGGAGAGATTCATCCTGCACAGGGTGGCATAGTGGTGGGGCAGGCACAGGAGAAGGGGAAAGCAAACAGAACAGAGAAGTCAATTGCAGTCTTTCTCTTTCCTTGTTTCAGCTCTTCCCTGTGTCAGAACTGGTCAAGGCCAAACCTTGACGCACCACATGTGGGACACAAGGCTAAGATGGCCATGTGACAGAGGAGATGATGGCAGAGTTGCAGAACTCCTGCTGGCAACTGTGACTGGCTGACATGCAACAAGGGCCTCCATGACAAACAGGCACTCCAGCAAACATGGCCCCACCCAAGCCTATCTGGGCCTATCTCCAGAGCCAGTTGGGGGGAGACCACTTGAGGCATGGGCTTCCAATGACTACGGCTCTTCCCCCATTCCTCTAAGCCACGCCCAAAGGGAGCTATCTCCCACTTAGTGGGAAGGGTGGCGTGGCCAGGCTGAGCTCTTGGTCCCCTGTTCTTTGGTCCTCTATCCTTGGACCTTCAAGCTCCTTTGACCCAGACAAGTTTGTATCAACAAGCCCCATCTTTGGACAACACATCAAGATGTATTTTTCCCTTTCTACTTAAAGGTTTAGTGTGCTCCAGGAATGCAGTGACGTATAGTAGCCCTCACTTGACAGCAGCCTATGCCACAGGCAAAAGCTTTCTGGATGATATAAATAATGGCAACAACTGGCATCTGAGGAATCCCTTCAAATTGGTCCGTATTGGAAACGGTCAGGCAAATGTCTGCACGTACTCATGTCTCTTAAGAAAATAAGTCTGAAGCTACTGAACTCTAAGTAGGCTTGCTGCAGTGGAGGACATCCCTTAAACACAGCTGGCTGCAGACTGTTGGAACTCTCTAGGATGAGACAAAAGTAGGAAGGAATTTGTGCCCCAAGTTTGTCCCGTGAATACTGATTTACTTTTTTTTTGAGATAGGGTTTCACTATTGTAGCACAAGCTAGCCTAGTACTTGGGGTCCTTCTGGCTTAGTTTCCCGAATATTGGGATTATAGGCATGTACCACCACATTGTCCTTGAATGCTGTTTTTTCTGCCAGCAGTTCTTTCAAGGCAGGGGGTCTCTTAAGAGCCACCAGAAAGAAGTCTGCCTCTCTGCCTTTGCAGGTCAATTTTTTTAAATGCCAAATTCACAAAGGACAAATTCAAATTTGAAGTACAGAATTTTGTGAGTCAAATTAATCACCAGCACCCCCCGCCATACCTGCCAAAACACTAGGTAGGTAACACACACACACACACACACACACACACACACACACACACTTACTTACTTTTCCCTGCCCTTGGGAGTGGGCAAGGACAGACTCTCACTGTATAGCCCAGGCTGGGTTTGGTCCATATATATGTATGTGCATATCTATATCTTTCTATTTGATTACTGTCCCTTTCCCTAGCTAGGGCATAAACTTGTCTTATGTGTCTTGCCATCGTGGTGCCCCAAAGCTAAGGACAGTGCCTTGTGTACAGTAAATGCTTAATAAATGCTATTGGAAGAATAAACTCTTGGTCACTACAGATTTTTTTTTTTTGGTCTTTTTGAGACAGGGTCTCCCTGTAGCACCAGCTGGCCTGGAACGCACTATGTAGACCAGGCTGGCCTTGAACTCAGAGATCTGCCTGCCTCTGCCTCCCGAGTGCTGGGACTAAAGGCATGTGCCAGCATGCCTGGCTTACTACAGAATTTTTAAAAAAATTTATTTATTTTAATTTTATGTATATAAGTGTATTGCCTGCATGTGTGTAAGTACACACATGTCATGCAGTGTCCATGGAGGACAGAAGAGAGCATCGGATCCCCTGGAAATGGAGTTATGATGGATGGTTGTTAGCCACCATGTGGGTGCTAGGATTTGAACTCAGGTCTTAACTGCTGAGCCATCTCTCTAGCCCCCACTATAGAATTTTTATAAATACTGTCTCTTGTCAAGAGACTGGGTGATTGTAGGAGACCAAGGAGTGCTGGGTGCCCAGCCCTGGCTTAGGACCCTTCCTCCTTTTTACTGAGTGTGCAGTTGTCTGGCAAGGGGATTAGAAAGGAGGTGATTCTATCCCAACTCTGTATGGACAGACAGACACCAGAGCAGCCAGGAACTCAAAGTCTACTGGTTTTGTTATCTTCTAAAGGAATTTCAAAGCAGGACAAAGCATGCTTTGAACAGCAGTGGTCACTGTCACGGTGCCCACAAGGCCTCAGTCACTAATCACCTTTGGTGGTCTTAAATACACACATTCTGCTTGCACCTGAAAAGCATAATATTTTCACTGTGGCTCAATATTATAATAAACAATACAAAATCCCCTTTTAGTAAATAAACATGTTCACCAAATCCAGGAGCACTTCCTCCAGTCCCCAAAGGCACAGTTCCTACAAAGCTGCTCTGTGTGCCAAGGGGCTCTATTTGACATGCGCTCCTGGGCCTCAAACACTGCCAGCAGTTTCTGGTTTGCTCAGAGGGCTGGGCTGATGAAAACATTCAAGACATTTATGGTTCAACGGGTTAGATGTTTGATGGAGTTCTCTATAGAAAAATAAAGCTCCCTTTTCAGATCTTTGAAGGTGATGCTCATGGCAGTTTCTTCCTTCGGATCGGTTTCCTGCTTACATGTGAGCAGAGTTTAACTCAGTGAAAACAAAATGCCTTCATTGGAACAGCAAAAGCAAGGGTTTGTGGGAATAAATGTCCACATTCTACATCTATTAGAAGACAGAGGCCATAATTTGTTGCCTCCTAGCTGGTACTTACGGGCAATTTTCTGCACCATTTTGGCAGCTATGGAAAATTAGTAAAGGGTAGGGTGGGACAACAGGCAAAACAAAAGCAGAAACAAAGCAAAGATGATAATTAAAAAAAAAATACATGGTAACCAAGGATAAACACTAACTACAATGTAGATTTTCAAATATGCTTGTGGATTCAACAAGATGGGAAAGTAGAATTCTACAAAGGAATATGTCTTTTGAAATGACCAAGAATCAAGACTGAAAACATGAGCAACAAAGGTCAGTCTAAATATTTAACTATCCTTAAAGGTACACATAACTGCCAAGCCTTGATTTGACTGCACTGGAAGTATGGGTCAGCATTTACTGAGCACAGCTAAGAATCCACTGATGCTTTCTAGAACCTGTGAAAATAATGGTCTTTAGGCTAACTTTTCATAGGAGTCCTTGCTCAGGACCATAGGAAGCAGATGTTAGCTGGTCAGATACATGCTGCTATACCCTTTCCTTCCTGATAAGGGAGTCTCTCAGTGGGCTTGCAAGTCCTGGTGCAGTCATCTCTCACTGGCACCAGCTCTCTGGTAACTGCTGCTTTGAGTTGGTCTGAAAGCATACAGAACTTATTCCTTTTGTAGTACTGGGGATAATAGGACCATGTACATGTTAGGCAAGTATGGAGGAAGTAGGCTCCTAGCCCAGGATAGCTAATTTCTAGCTCTGGTAGTCTTGATGGTCTATTATAGTAGGGAGAACCTGGTCAACCCTGCCAAGGTCATGGATTCCTTATAGCTCTCTTCAAGCCAACCAGTTCTTGGCCCCCTTTTGCTCCAGGTTGCCATTGTCTCAACACAATCCTGCTGGGGAGGCAGTAGGCTAGCTTCTGTGGAGGGTAGAGGCTGCCTGACTCTCCCTTGCACTTTAGAAGTAGATATATTGATCAGGCTGTAGGCTGTCCCATTGACTGGTCTAGTCTACATCTTGTCTTCCTAGAGCAGACCTGTTGCAAATGCAGACTGACAAGCTTCAGACTTTGCTGGGGACAAGGCTGGAATTTGCTTAATGTTCTGATCTCAGAAAAACTTATGCTGTCTTAACTCCAAATACTGAATAAGGGTGTGGCACTGCAGACATCATACTGCCCAGTGAAAGCACAAAGCAGAGCTTCACTTAGGTGCCTTAATAAGATGGGACTCTGCTTTTACATGCACAACACACATGGATCCTTACCACAGAGCGTGGTTATTTGGGAGGGGCGATGAGTTTATTCTTACCTCATTTAAACCTGGAGTTATAGTTGGTGCGGCAATGAAAACAACAAAAGGAGCAAACTCAGCAGTTCTCAGGACCTTCAGTGCCTGTGAGGAAGAGAAAGAGGCTTAAAAGAAGAAATAACTAATATAACATGCAAATGAGCCAATTAATAAGCTACACAACTGAAAAAGTCAAGGCCTTGGTTCAAATTTTTGGCAAGGTATTATTAAATGTACCAACTTCATAAATAATATATATTTTCTTCTAAAGGATGGACAATAGTTATCACAAAATAAAAGTTGACAAAAAGTTGACTGGACATTTTTGTTAGGAATCTCACAGCTCAACTGGATTTATTTTTCTCGGTAAAAGTTAATGCTGACTATGTTGGTTAATCTTCGTTTAAACCTGATGATTTGTCAGAGCCTGAATTTTAATTGAAGGGAAATGAATTTGGGGGGAGACTTGGACCTGTAGGCTGGCTTCACACTTCTTGGGAACCCACTTTATCTCATTTCAAACTGCAAATCGCTAACCCAGGAGAGCAAATCCTGGGCACTGTCACTATGTGGGCTTAGTTCACACTTATACAGACCTTCTGATGAAAGGCTCCCTGAATCTCAGGGGGGAGAGGCCTTGCCCGAGGCAGGAATCATAAAGTCCTACCAGTATAAACACTGTGTGGCTGTGGGCAATGCCTTGGCCCATGAGAGAACAAGGGGGAAGGACCTCTGGGATCCTTTCCAGTCCCCTTCCAAGGCATGGCAAACCTGTGAAAGGGACTAATTTCTGAAGATGTTTGGCAAGGCAGTTATGAAGTACTGCAGGAGTCCACTCTGAAGGGTCACTGTTTTCATTCTTCCCTGGGAGGCCATGACCCTCTCAGGACAACGCCTACCAAATCCAGGTACCCAATACACTAACACATAAGTAATTCAAAGGCATCAGGAGTAAATATCTTGCTGCTCTATATTTAGTTTAATTTTAGTTTCAGTTTTTCTTTTTGTTCCTGAGACAGGAATGTACAGGCTTGCTCTCAGACCCATGATCTTCTTGTATCAGCCTGGGGTTACAGGTGTACACCACTACACCAGGCTTGGTGATCATTACACAAGAATTGAACATCTCTATTTTGTTAACTAAATATTTTAATTTTTTTGAGACACTCACTGTATAGCCCTGGCTGGCCTGGAACTCTATGTAGACCAGGATGGCCTTAGACTCACAGAGATCCACCTGCCCCTGCCTCCCAAGCACTGGGATTAAAGGCATGCACCACAATGCCCAGCTTTTATGTTGCCTTTTCATTGATATTTACATTGTTTGCTTTTCCCCTAATTCTACTGTACTGTCTTTAGCGTGGCTTATACTGAGGGCCCTTAGACCAGTTCCCTGCCTCTAGTTTTGCTGCTTTTCAATGCATATTTCAACCTGCTCCTAGAATGATCTTTCTAAAATGTAAACTTCATCCTTCCCCTCTAAACCCTTTCAACAGCCCCCCATTCACTGTAGAGTAAAAAAGCATGTCCTTCAACATGAAGGTCAGTTCCTATGTTTAACTTCTTCAGACTCCTTCTATCTGACTCTCTTCTTCAGACTCCCACTATCCTGAGTGGACTGGCTTTACTGAATGACTTTCAGTTTCAGAAACGGCCCAACTCTTTCTGGCTTCTTGGCCTTTCGCTTGCTGCTTCCTCTACCTGGACTTCCCATCCTCCCTTTTTCCCATTATCCTTTCTGTGTGGCTGAGTAATCCTTCAGAACTTAGTCTCTGGAGAGTTCTTTTATGATACATGGTCTCATGTAGCCAAGAATGACCTTGAACTTCTGATCCTCCTGACTCTATCTTCTGAGTGCTAAGATTACAGACACGCGCCATCATGCCAGTTTTATGTGGTGCTGGGGATCCAACTTAGGGCTTTATACCTGTTTAGGCAAGCACTTCATCAACTGAGCTCCATTCCCAGCCAAACTTTGAACTCCTGATCCTCCTTGTCTCCACCTTCCAAGTGCTAGTGCCACCCATACCTGTCAGTTTCTCGGAAAAGTTCTTTATGAGCCCTGAGACCCTGTTGTACGCTCCTAAAGTCACTGGGAACACAAGTCACTGGGAAAGTTTGAGGTCAAGGGCTGTGTCTTGTTCACATATCGCTCTTATACTTGAAATGGCACACCATAAACTGCCTTTAGGATTCAGTGAAAAGGTAAAAACAGTAAATCTAATATGTACAACATGAATCTTGTCTTTTGAAGCAGGTCTAACCAGAGAGCTGGCTGCTTTCTTGGCACCTTTGAGCACATAGGCTTGTAAGAGAAGATCTGATATTAAAGAGTCTCTTTCTGAGTATAAGCCTCACTTGCACTAGGGTTCTATTTCCAGACTTTGGTTGCACACTGTCTTCTGGTGGGTTAGGGAATCCTGGCCCACTGTCTTCTCTGCTCAAAATTCTTACTGGTCAAGTCACAAGTTCAGAGTCCCCTGCTAAGAATGCTTTCCACACCTGTACACATTCACTTTGCAAAGAGGTGGCTGCCCATTTTGTTGCTAATCTTTTGTGACTGACGACATTATTAAGGAACAGACATTGGGAAGAAGCCCACACATGACCCAAATGAGCCGAACTGGGATGCTCAGTTAGAAATGTCCACTTTGTCATTATCTTGAGTCTTTGCTCCTTCCTTCCTGTGCTTGGGCCCCAAGGGTTTAGAGGGTCAGGCAGAACACAAGGTCTCTCATCACTCCCACCTCAGCTCTCTCTCTCTCTCTCTCTCTCTCTCTGGCAACTGAGATGTGGAAACATCTAACTTGCTTCTCTCTCTGAAGCATCCCTGAGTGCCAGATGTAAGTGCACACAACCTGTATGTGGAGCAGAACTCATAGGACACTGATCATGAACCCCACACAGAAATGGTTTCTCCCTGTCAGCTCTCCACCCTGCTAGCCAACCAATCCTTTGAGTGCTTTCAATTCTAGCCTGCCATCATGTTACTATACAAACAAACATGCTCCTTGGAAAACACAAGTTTAGCTCGTGTAGACACTGTCCATGTACACACTATGCAGAGCCCTTAGTCTATATCCACAAGGAGGGCCACCCCATACTTAACTGTGTGAGACCCTCAAAGTTCATCACATTGCCAAATGCTTCTTGTGCCTAAGCCTTAGTCCTTGATCTGACCCCATCCTCTTTTTGCCCTAGCTGCCAGGAAGTTCAGAACCGAACTTAATGCTTATCACAATAACTACAGCAGTTCCTGTGGTTAGCATATTTTCTTCTCTTCCTTTTCATGGCCTTCTCTATTTCTATCATATATTATTGTATTTTCCAAAATTCTAAGACGCCTCAAATCCTGACTGCAATTTTCCTGTCTAGCAGACCTCAGCTTCAGCAGTTACAACATATTTCCCAATTGTTTTTAAGTATCTCTATCCTCATACCCTGCTCTACTTATGGGTCTCAAATAGGTGCTGTTTTAGGTCCAGGTACAGTTGGGCTGAGGTTCAAAGTCATTTAAGGGACAGGAAAGGGAACTGCTTATATGGATTCCCCTCCCTCAGATGGTTAATAACTGAGTTAAATATGAACTCTAAACCTTTGGTTTAAGGTGAGACACAAATTAATTAATATTCACAGGAAAATATTTCTTTCTGAATGGGAGGGGGCATGATGAGGGAGGAGAAAAAAGGTAGGGAGAGAGAGAGAGAAAAAGAGAATACACGCATGCTCTAGAAAGATCACTGAAAACACATTAGATTCAAAGAGTTCATCTATGTATGACCAAGAATTAATCTCACATTACCATCTCCAAGGAATAAGAACTCATTTGACCCAAGGACCCAAGTGCAGGTATCTGTTAGACTACTGCATTTGTACAGTTAAGGGTATACAAGGGCAAGCAGCTCAGTCATTCTTGTACACAAATCCAATGATTTAAGGAAGAGCACAGTGACCCCACTGAGTAAGCAGTTTAACAATATGGCCTCTGGTTCTTGCTTTGTGTTTTGGTACTGAGGATGGAACCCAGGGACCTCCTGTATGCTAATCAGCACCCCTACCATTAATCTATACCCCTAGCCCCTGGCTCTGGTTTTTAAGTCTAGATTCCTAATTAAGCCTGGAGGCTACCTTTCTCTCTTTGAGCAAAAGCAAAAATAAAAATAATCTGCTATTCTTCTTATTTTTAAAATACTTTATTATTTTTATTTTATGTGTATGAGTGTATTGCCTGCATGTATGTGAGTGCAGCCGTGTCGTGCAATGCTGTGGAGATCAGAAGAGGGCTTCGGATTCCCCCGGAACTGGAGTTAAGGACGGTTCGTAGCTGCCATGTGGATGCTGGGACTCGAACCCAGGTCCTCTGCAAGAACAGTCAGTGTTCTTAACGGCTGAGCCATCTCTCCAGCCCCATATTCTTATTATTTTTTGAGATAGGGTCTGGCTATATAGTCCAAGTTGGCCTGGAACTCACTATGTAGTCCAGGCTGGCCTTGAATTGATGATGCTTCTACCTCAGCCTTCTGAGTGCTCAGATTGCAGGCATACACAACTATGCCCAGGAAGTTTAACTTTTTAATGCTTTAAAGTGGAAAATCATAACAAAGTCAGAATGAAAAAATCATTATAATAACTTCTGATTACCTGCCGGAGCAATTATTCTACAGGTTTTGCTTATTGATATTGATTTTACTGCCATGTAGCTTTATTTCCATGATAAATGAACTCTATAGTTCTTGTTTTTCAGGTTTCATTACCATATAGATTTTTCTAAATGTTTAAAACAATTAGGGCTTAACATTATACACAAGGTGGGTCACTTTGAGGATGCCCAGGGTTACCTCTTCTAGAATGGCACAATGAAAGGAGGTTAAGATTTGTCATTAAAAAAGTAAAAGACCCAACAGAATTCAAGTTTAAGCCTGACTTTCAATTGGCTAGAAAACCTTGGTTGATCACGATTACATTAAGCCTTGTTTTCTTTTTCTAAGGAAGCAGATACCGACATCATTTCATAAGGTTACCAGGATCAGGTGAAGAGTAATAATGTGTGGCAAAACACAAAGCAGTGTAAGACTGTAATCAGTTGCTGTTTTAAAAGAAGTCAGGTTATTGGTTTATTTTTTCTAGTTTAATCATTTCTATGGCCCTCTAGGTTTAGAGTTGGACCACAACATCTTCTTATTTAATTTAGTATTAATGCTTAAATTTGGCCTTAATTGTCTGAAATAAATCAAGGTGGCACAGAGCATTAGACCTGCTCTAAATAAGCTGAGCACCAGTGTTAGGTGGCCATTCAATGGGCCACATACGAGAGAAATGGCTTCAGCTGTGGCAGATGTGAGAGGATTCAAAAAATGCCACAAGGCACTTTCCCTCTTTTGGACAGTGTCTGAGGTGCATGCAGGAAGGAATTTCATCCTCACCAGCTTGTCTTCTTAAGAGCATTTTTAGCTCCTGGCACAGTGCTTGGCATATTAGTGCTTAGTACAAGTGTGTTAAATTGAACTGTCTGCGAGATACAGCAGAGGCCTCAATCTAATCAGCTAGGGTGGGAACAGGGCATGGAGGAAAGTGTTCTAAGAACAAGGCCCTGCCCGAAAGTAAGTCGTTCATGGCCACAGACATCCTGAATGCAGGATGAGGGTGGTCCCCAGCCCTAGGGAGAGTGGGCTGAGGGCAGGGAGGCCCAGGGGAACCTTGTTGGTGCAGACTCCACGGGTATCCCAGCCTGTGCTGCCTGTACACAGCAGCCAGCCAGGAGTCTAGGCTGGGTGGGAGAGCCTGGGACCAGAACGGTCAACCAGTCCAACTGTGCGCCAGATGGTCCTGGGCCATCCCTGTCCCCAGGGCCACAGGCCCATAGAGGCTCAAGTAGAGGCCAGGATGCCTACAGTCCACCCTCAGGGGCTGGTGGAACTGAGAGATCACAGTTGTGAAGTGGGAACAGGAAGCAGGAGAGGAGTGCAGGTGAGCTCATCCAGCAGTCAGGGCAGCAGGGGTCAGTGTGCCCGGCAGGCCGGGTAGAGGAGGTGCCGGGCCAAATGCAATGGAGAAAGGATCTGCTGTGGACGTCCTGATGAGGTCGAGAGATGGGTCTCCCGCTCAGCAGTGCAGAGCAGTGCATGGCTGTGCAAGGGCAAGGGGACAGGGAGAGCTGGGTGCTATGAGTGGAGCAGCAGCGGCAGCAGCGGTGGTGGTGGTGGTGGTGGTGGTGGCGGCGGCAGCGATGGCAGCGGCAGCAGCAGCAGGGAAGGCAGAAAGCCCTTGGAAGTGGCCTGCGGTAATGCAGAGGGATCTGAGGAGCCCTGCAGCCAGCATACTGCTAGAGACATTACTACCAGCAGAAAACGACGTTCAGGTGAAGACCAGTGTGGAACCCAAGGAGAGGATGTCGAAGACCAGGACCAGGATTGAGACTTTGCCTCTAGCCACCCCTGGCCAGAAGATTTTTCCAATCCCTAGTAAGGAGGGATTAGTAGTTAAACAAAGATCAATCTGCGTTACACATCATCATATTTAGTTCTATATAGGTCCAAGTTAATCGCTACGTCAAGTAAGCTACAGTGTTTACCCTACTGTTGCGCTCCTCCCTAGCCCCTAACCAGATCGTACTGCACTTTCCAACGTTCCAGGTTCAAGAACCCCATGAGGTGCTATAAAAATGGAAATGGATGATCCCAGTGGCTGTGAGAATCTTGGAGCCCAGAAACTGAGCCATCAAGTCCCAGGTCACATAGTCTCCTGGCTACGCGCAGGCTTTGTTCTAGGTTTGGAGATGGCTAGGGGACCAAGTCTCATGCAGTGGCCCTTCAACAGGGATCTTCCCTGCCTGGGACAGGCACATAAGCCTACTGATGAAGCACAGCCTTCTCTACAAGGGGCATGCACTACATGTCAGCAGGTGGTACACCAATTCTGTTCTAAGTAATAAAAAGATTCAGGGTATGGATCCATCTTAGAAATGGCAGATCTGAGAGTCACAAGAGTGCCCAGAAGCCTGTCCTGTAACCTCCCCTGATGTTGACAATTCCCAAATCTTTCCCCCTGTGCTTTAAGTCCCATTTCTATTGGCCTATACTTGGACATGAAAAAACAGCTTGTCAGCAGTTTTGTTTTGCTTGTGCATGCTAAGCATGTGCCCTACCAGTGAGTTACTATGATGCCAGCCCCTATGATATCAAGCCTTTGGCTTTCTCTTTCTCAAGTTTTGACATTTCTATTGTCTCCTGCATAAGACTTATTTACAAATCATTTAACCAATCATCTTTGTATTCAGCTCCCTTTGGGTCCTCTGCAAGTTCTCTTTATCTCTTCTAGTTTCAGCTCAGGTCTAGGTGTCATCCTCAGCTAAGGAAACAGCAGAGGCTGAGAGCTGCCTCGGTTGGCTCTTCATCCCTGCTCCATCTGACACTGGGGCTCACACACACTTGCCTTCATTAAGGTAGGGCTATTTTACACCCAAAACCTTAGGATCCATTTCTTACAGGTGATCAGAGTAAGATGTTGGCAGATGCTCTGATGGTCCAGCGTGAGCCACACCAGGAGGGCAAACGGGGCTGCTGTGATAACAAAGTGCCAGAGTCTCATCCTGAGGTCAGATGAAGGTAGGGTTTCTGGCAGGCACAGACCCAAATGGGTACTTCACCGAGCCTCTGAGTATGATAAACTGCGTAAGAGAATAATCTGCTTCTTAAATGTTATGTTGTGTGTACTGCTGAGTCCAGCGACTGTTCTTGATTAATGCAGTCTTGATTATCGAAATTTTCCTGAGGCTCAGGAAATTATTATGTGACCCATGACTTTCTGATGGCATTTTGGATTTCAGAATCTGAGCTTATCAGCATGCAGGCAAGATAGAGTGGGTTTAGGGTGGCTAGACATTACCTGAGGCTCCACGTCCAGAATTGCAATCAGCCCCTGCTCATGGATCTTCCGAATGGTCTCCAGTTTTGTCCCGTACATTGCGTCCTCATGGCTGCCGTACTCCAAGTACTCATTATTTGAGATGTCTTGCATCATTTGGTCATGGGAGACAAAGTAATAATTCTTGCCATTTTCTTCATCTTTCTTTGGAGGTCTGGTTGTATCTGCAGAGCCATATGTCATGAGACGTTGTTTAAAGGCTGGGTTGATGAGTTACATTCCCAATGGACCTAATCAACTCAATTCCTTAACATATATTATTTTATTATATGTATTTATTTTGGGGGGGCTGGGGATGGGACCCAGGCCATTATGCGTGCTAGGAAACCCCCTCCATTGCTTCTTAAAAGCTGTAGCTTAAGCCAGGCATGGCAGCATACACTTGTAAATCATTTGGGAGGTGGGGCAGGAAGATGGCAAGCTCAAGACCAGCCTGGGCTACAAGAGACCTTGTCTCCACCCCCCCCAAAAAAAACAAACCAACTCTTGAGATTCTTTAGAGTGTGTCTCTCTCATATCCCCTGTTCCCCTCTCTAGTAGCTTTGTAGAAGCAATTCACAAACCATATTTATCTGTGTATAGCAGCGTATCAGTTGTTTGGTTTGGTGACTATTTCAGTGTTGTAAGATGCATTTCATCCCTTTATGGGACACTCCAGGAGAAAGACATGAAGTGACCCAAGTCACTTAAATTATTATGTGCTTTAACATACTTGGGTCTTGTATAGAAGAAGAAAGAAAAATAATAAAAGAATGGAAAACCACATATGACTATTTAAATTTAAATGGAAACAGAACTATAAGTTGAGTTCCTTAGTCTCACTAGCCACACTTCAAGGGCTGAAGAGTCACAGTTTAAATATTGAAGACTATCACTATTACAGAAAATTCTCCTAGATAATGCTAGTCTATATTACTTCACAAATGAGAATGTTAGAAAACAGCAAAAGGCAGGCATACCATACTGAAAACATGATGGCCTTAGGGCCACCTGTGGACTGACACTTCTGAAACTGTGAGCCAAAACAACTCTTTCTTCTTTTAAAGTGTTCTTTCAGGTATTTGTCATATCAACAAGAGTCTAACACAATTGGTTTTTAAAACTTTTATCTTTATCTCCCTTTCTCTCTTCTCCTTCCCTTTCCTGATTTTGTTCTCACATCTTTCAATTTCCTTCCCTCTGTATTGTTTCCTTTCTTTCTTTTCTTTTAACTGAATTTTTGTGATTCTTCATACCATATAGTTGAATAAGGTCAAATTTATGCTTCGCTTTGCTAGATACATGGATGTAAGCAGATAGGGAATGGGGAATTCCTCCCTTCCTGCTAGACGATTAAAACTGGCAAGTGTCACAGTCATCAAACTGTGGACAATTTAAAGAGGAATGCTTTCCCCATTACACCAAAGGCTGAAGAAGGCATACTATTTTCAGCTATCTAAGTAGTTAATGTATGGTACATACACATCTGGGGTAAAATAGCTGAGAGATCAGACATAGTTGATGACAAAGGTAAGAATAAGCCTTAAAACTAACCCAATCAGCTGGATATTTAATAAGTAGAAGTTCAGCTGTTATGTGATCATGAAAAACCAAATGGAGCCAAGTTCACTGTACTCATGATATAGATGTAAGAATCGAAAGAATATTTCAAAATGTTTTACCAGAAAATTGCAGTAGCACCAATTGCAGTGATACTTGATACAGTTTTCTTATGTTAATCTGTGATCTTATGAAGCCCCCTAGATCTCTGAGGTGTCCACTGACCTTGCTTCAGGAAGGCTTCTGGCACCTAGCAGGAAGGAGCCAGTCTTGACATTTTCTCCTACTACTCTTTTTTTGTTCTTGATTTTTTTTGAGGCAGGATCTTAAAATGTAGCCATGGCCAGTCTTGAACTTACTATGTTGCCTAGATAAGGCTTTAAACTTGCAGGGATTCTCCTGCTTCTGTTTCCTGAGTGCCGGATTATGCTATTATTATAGGTGTGTGCCATCATGCCTGGCTACTTCTGTAGCTCACTTCTGCCTACCCTAAACAAAGATCTAACCTCTAGCTTCTGAAATTGAAATGGTAACCTTTGGGAATAATGATGCTAACAATAAAATGTCAGGTCAGATAGCTACTACTTATCAATCATCTGTTAAGGGCTTGATACACAGATTCTTGAACCCTTTTTACAACCATGGAATTACTTCATTTCACTACGGAGGAAATGAAAGACAACAAGAGGTTAAAAATATGAAATAGAAAGGTAAGGGGATTAAAAAATATTACAGATTTGAAATTCCTCAAAAAACAGCATGTTGACTGGGCTTAAAAAGTGCTAAGAGCTGGGCGTGGTGGTGCACACCTTTAATCCCAGCACTTGGGAGGCAGAGGCAGGCAGATCTCTGTGAGTTCGCAGCCAGCCTGGTCTCCATAGTGAATCCAGGACAGCTGGGGCTACAGGGAGACCCTGTCTCAAAAAGACCAAAAAAAAAAGTGCTAAGAAGCCAATAATGTAGATGTGATTAAGGAAAACATGGTTGTATCAGAGAAAATTATAAAACTATTAAAATTTATTTTTCTGAAGACTGATTTATTTAGGCAATGTTTATGAATACTGTTGGAAAAATGAAGTTACAAACAAAATGGATGAGACTTCCTATCCCCACTCTAAACACATGCACATTGTACATATGTTTTCATTAAGAGAGGCCTAGAAGGGTATTAAAACAAGTATTTACTGTAGTTATTATTTGGAAAACGAGGTTGGAATTGCCTTATTTTCTTCATTGTTTTTGCTTTGGGTTTTACAAATTTCCTACAGTCATCAGTGAACATATACTATTTTTATAAACAAAAAACCCCACATAAATTATCACACTAATAAAGTAATAGGAAAAATAGAATTCAAAGAGATTGCTTACGTGGAATAGGGTATGCAAACCGGTCTGGGTGCTTTGTGATGAGGGTGTTTTTTATATGTCTTCTCCCAACACCATGTGCACCTACACCATTTTTGAAAAGAAGGGTAAAATTGACAACTGTTACTAACATTTTAAAAAAAGTTTTGAAGGTGAGGATAAACAAGCTGCTGTATATAGCTAAACTTACCTAATAAGACTAGTGTTTTCCTTTTGAATGCTGGCAGTTTCACTACTTCTTCATATGTGACAAGATCTAATTGATCAAAAACTAAAATGCAAAGATTTAGAAGCAAGGTAAGTTGATAGAAAATGGACATTGCATGTAGATGAGTTATAATTTTACTGGAAAAGCTAAATTACAGTAAGACCATAAATCCTGCTTATGATACCTAGCTTACTTGCAATTTAATACATATTGCCATTAGCAGAGAAAGTTTCACTTTTAAGCCCATGAAAATGCACTTTACAACCAGGAACACCCAAAGATAGGATGAGTACATGCATCAGAGTCCAGTTCTAAAGGATACTGAAGGCTGTTTTATGCAGTATCCAGCAAATCATTTGAATTCATTCAGAACCACATGCTGTTCATATTTGTACAATTCTAAGACATCAGCAATACTACAAAGAAAAAGTCTATGGACAGTGATCAATATGAATAGAGCGTGAACGCAACTGAAGGCAACCAAGCAAGGGCCTGCTCAACCCCTTTCAGAGATGGGTGACAAATGTGTGCTCAGCTGGTTTTATCACTCTTTTACTGCTTTTTTAAAGCTGAAGGTGGCATGCTAGAGTCTTTCAAAGTCAAGTTTTATAAGGACTTTACAGGCCTTTAAATCAACATTCCACAAATTCTACTGTAACTCAAATATCTTCGATGGCAAATTTTGGGTTTTTACATAGGGAAACATGCATTCCTGGCTCTTGAACCATGTCAGAAATTATTATATGAGCAGTTGTGTGATAAATCAAGAAGAATGGGATGGAAAGTACTTTGGAGAGTCTGAGCTCAGAAACCTTTGAGAAAGGGGAGTTCTTACTACAAAGTACTTTAAAAATCTGTCTCTGAAAACTGTCTCTTTAAAATTTTATTTTATGTGTATGCGTGTATTCCCTGCATATAGGTAAGTGCACCCGTGCCGTGCAATGCCCGCGGAGGTCAGAAGAGGCTGTTGGATCCCCTGGAACTGGAGTTACGGACAGTTGTTAGCTGCCATGTGGGTGCTGGGATTCAAACCTGGGTCTTCTGCAAGAACAACCAGTGTTCTTAACCGCTGAGCCATCTCTCCAGCCCCCTGAAAACTGCCTCTTAACAATATGATTATAAGAACAATTTTAAGCTATATGGGAAAGTTTTCTGAGTGAATGACCATTGCTGTTGAATTTCAGCAGAGTCTGATTCTCATACACATTTGAAAATTCTCATGAGAAGGCTAATGCATCCTGTAATTTTTTCCCCCATGGGCATACCCAATTGTTATCAAGTACACACTAAATTTTCCTCTTTTCTTCAATATAGTGAGTTCTCCCAGCATTTTAGAGGGAGTGAAATAATCCAATAAAATTGATTCTGTGGTGTAATGATGGAATCTGGGATGCTTTGTTGAATCATTCAAAGAACTTCTGTTCCTTCAAACAATATGGCCAAATGACTGCATCAACTCAGTCCTCCACATTGGTGATCTGCCCAAATAGCAAAGAACTTAAGATACCATGGAGTGTAATAGATCATAAACATACAAATGAACAAAAAGCATCATTCTCAAAATATATATAGAAAGAAACAGAATATGTTAAAATAAGGATTAGTGCATATTAATGGGTATTTGTGCATTTGTTTTCTCTCAATAATTTGAGTAAAAAAAATCTTTAGACCATATTCTTTAGCAATAGCCTAGATTGGAGAAATGTTTTCAGAATGCCATGCTCACAAAATTATAATGAACATGAGATTCCCTGCGGTAGAGTTAGCTCATCGTGCTGCGGTGGTAACGGAATGATAAGAACTGAAAAAAAAAAAGCAGGAGTGTTTATGGCACTGCTTTCTGAACTGAACCTACTGCTTTATGAATGATATGTCTATCAAGAGAAAGTATGCTGCTTATGGAAGAAGTGCATCAGCAAACTGACGTGCTTTAATCTACACAAATAAGTGCTTTATGAAAGAGCAAGATGAGAATGACACAAGCTTTCTAAAAGGTACACACATCTCTCTCCCTCTACAGAGCCCTAACCCGAGTCCTGCTCACTTAAGACTTTGTCATTTCCTAAAAGCACATGAGTTAGATAATAACAATTAACACACCACAAACGAATGAACAGACATGTTAAACATTAGAATCTTAACTATGAATGAAAAGCATGAAGAGGTTACTGTGGTCTAAATAAAACTGTCACATGATCAAAAGGGTTGCAAAATAATAAAAAAGGATATTTAAAAATAAGAGATACAAGGAATATTAGAAAATTACTTAAAGACTGAAATTTTAAAGGGGTTAAGTTGCTTGCTGATTAAAAAAAAGGACTTAATAAAATGAAATCATCAAAAACACAGAGGCATAGTCATTCAACAGGTTACTTACATGCACAGAGGCCATTGGGAGTGAGACAGCATGAAAAATGTACAGGGGTCATTGAAATATGATTTTTCATATATTAGTAAAATAAAAGTATAATAAGCACAAAATAAACTTTATCATGCAATATTCTAAACACAAGGTAAATAAGTCACATTAAAAAAACTCACTTTAATATAAATTCAATCATATCCTTATATAAAAGCCAGTGGATTTTATATGCTAACATATGTGTAGAAATTTATTTGGGAATTATAAAAAACCCTCTTCAGATAATAATGTAAGGAGCCTCTTGCTTTTCACTTTGTGCTTTCCTATACTGTTTATAATTTCTAATCACATGTGCCTATTATCTTATTATTATTATTATTGTTGTTATTATATTTTGTGGTTCTGGGCATCAAACCCAGACCCTTGCACATGGTAATAAAGTGTTCTACCACTGAGCTGTATCTCCAGCCCCACTTTCATTGTTTAAAGAAATGCCAACAGGTCAGTGAGGTTATGGGCCACTTTTCTTCTTCAGAGTTATTTGTACCTAAGGAAGAAAGGATAGTTTTGAAAAGCTAATGACTATTTGTGGTTTTAAGCATAACTGAAACACATCTAGGGTGGCATCACAGAAATTCTCTAAGTTCATATGTATATCCTGGTATTCTCGGGATACTTAGGTATCACTGTTCTGGCTTCTCACAGTCAAAAAAAAATTAAAAAAGAATTTCTGAACTGTAAAAAAGTTTAAATTAGTAACTTGATCTAAAAGTGACTTTTGGAAGTCTTGGGGCTGAGAAGTCCCAATGCCTCAAGACCACAGTTCTTCTAGCAGCGTGACAATGCTTTTCGGAACAAATGCTTTTTGTACCAAATATGGCTAAAAATCTTAAGTGTTTTCAGATAATGCATTTGCTGTGAATACTGCACATACCGTACTCAGCCTATTCCCAAGGATTCAAAAATATTGTCTGGCATACTCTGCTTATATTTCTCTGATTTCCTGGTAAGCTACTCAACACTCCAGACACTCAAGTATTTAAACAACTGCATTTTAAAGAAGCTGTTAACACTGAATCCTTGTCTCAGTTTGAAAAGCTAGACATTCCTTCAAATATTATAAAGAACTACAGTTAAAAGGTACAATTAAGCTGGGTGTGGTGGCGCACACCTTTAATCCCAGGACTTGGGAGGCAGAGGCAGGCGGGTCTTTTTAAGTTCGAGGCCAGCCTGGTCTATATAGTGAGTTCCAGGACAGCTGGGGCTACAGGGAGACCCTGTCTCAAAAAAAAAAAAAAAAAAAAAAGGTACAATTAAAAACTAGTAGCATCAGGCCAGAGTGTGTACTTCATGCCTGCAGTGGCCAGGCAGCTGATATGGCTGAATGAAGTGAGTCAGGGAAAAAACAGGGGTGGGTGGCTACAGTGGGTACGGGGGAATGAATGTTCCTCCAAAGGCACATGAGCAACCCTGAGTCCCTAAGAAAGGAAGTGGCTTTGTGATGCTGCATTCCCTATTTGGAAGTCCGAAACCCAAAGTTTTATGTTATATAACCTGATTTTCAAATGTGATATAAAATTATACAAATAAATTTATTTTTGGATCAAGCTTAGCTAATAGGCTGCCACTTTGAGATGTTAGATGTAGGCTCCACTGTTTGCACAGAATTCTGCTTTAACTACACATTGGGAATTTTCTGATGACAGAAATGGAAATAGTTTTGATATTATTGTTTCCATAGTTTGAGCTGTTAACAAAGTTCCTATCCTTTCTTTTTAAAAATATAAGCAATTTCCAAATCTGACAATAAGGTTTAGATTTCACTATCAGTATATGATGAATTCTCAAGGCTTGGAGTAGATAGTAAAACATAGGACCTTATTTTAATTTACGGTGTCTCAAGGTAAGAACAGAGTGTGCCACATTTTATAATCAACTTCCAAGAAATCCTTCAGAAATAGTCTGATCTGTGGCCCCTGAGCCCATCTGGCTAGTAGGTGGTGTGAAAGACCATGTATGATATTTCCAAACTTTTCAAAGCATCTGCCTTACCTAGACAGAGGTTAATAGTATTTGCTTTTTACACTTTTACAATTCTTTATATAGGCAATATAACACATTATGAGAAAAATTCATCCTTGCTAAAGCAGGCAACTGATAAAACACCAGGCTTCCAAGCTTCCTGACAACTTGGTCTCTTGTAAAGTAATGAGAAACAAATGGTTCTGGACTTCAGGATAAAGAAAATGGAGAAGTTAGTTGATGAAGTGGAAGAACCCTGAAGAGATGCTGGCAAAAGGAAGGCTTCATCAGGCAAGTGTATTTCAGAAAGGCCAGGATAAAAGCTGGGCACCTCCTGACCAGAGAAACTACAAGAAGAGCTCACCTCACTCTGCAGGTGAGGAAGCCAAACAGCAGTATTATGACCAGAGAACCACAGATAAGTATAAACACAGAGTTCTAGAAAGAAACCTAAGCGACCCTGCAAGGGCTTTCCTTCTAAGGAGCTAAGACTTTGTTTCAGTGGAGGGCTCATGCACAGGGACAAACACGGACAGGTAGAACAATCCCTCAAGCATGACAAAGAAGGCTCGGATGCCCAGAAAGAGGTCATTGGTTAGGAAAATACTGAGAATAACACAAGAGTAGTGGTCCTCCGTTCTCATGTGACTAGAGATGGTTTATCCTCGTTTTTACATTTATGAGAAGTTAGACAAATGGTTTGGAATAGGAGGTGGAAGGCCAAATGACAGAGAAAAAAAGCAATTGTACTCTTTTTTAAATCAGGGATGATGCTTTTCAACCTTGACAGGCAATGTTTCCCAGAGAGCTAAAGCCTGAGACATGGAGCAGTGCAAGAGTACTCAGCTTTTCCACAATGATACCTGTTTGTCAGGCCCAATGATGAAAGAACCATAGATCCAATGAGTTTTAGAATTACAAAGGACAGCCTTGACTGGTTAACAAAACTCCTTGGTTCAAAGGCCTCAGTAGCTAACTGATGTCACACACTTCCTCAGGTATGCTAATTTCTGGTCTCTTTGTTTTGTTTTGTTTTTGAGACCTGGAACTCACTATGTAGACCAGGTTGGCCTTGAACTCACGGAGATCCACCTGCCTCTGCCTCTTGAGTGCTAGGATTGCCTCAGGCTGCCTATTCAGTTTAGAGGCACATCTGCAGGACTGGTATATACTACCCACTGGGAATCAGAAAATGGGCATGATGAAAGCATCACAGTTATGTCCTGGTGCCCAAAGGACAGAAAATATGAACCATGGAAATCAGTGGCTGTTAGACTGAATGCTGATTCTCTGGCAGAATTCTTAAATGAATGATTTCACTAAGTGTCAACAGTTAGAGGCCCAGTTTTCTAATTAATTCACTTAATTATATCCTCAGAGCTGAGTTAAAGACTACTGGCAAATTGAATACTGATGTCTACATGCCTTCCAATTAGTAGAGTATAAAATTAATGACATGCTGACAGACTTAACCAGTTATTTGTTTGCTTTTATGTTTAAATTAATTTTAGTGCTATCAGTATTTATTTACCACTTAACACTGAAAAATTACAAGTTGAGATGGATAATTTAATTTTTCATTATGATGCTGGGATAGAACAGAGTCTTGCACATGCTAGACAAGCACTTTACTGCTGAGCTATATTCTTAGCTGATACACTTTTCATATTTAGCTAATGTGAATCCATCTCTTCGTGAGCTCATTAGATTGTATTAGTCTGGCAGAAGCATATAGAAGAATAGAAGAGAGAAGAGAGAAGAAGTAAAGACAGCTAAGGAAAGTTGACAATAACTGCTGACATCTCAGGTTAAGCAACATTCTGCTGGTGCTGTGTAGTTTCCCAAACAGTGCCACTTGAGTATAACTTGACAGTTGCTAGATTCTGTTTAGCTAGTCTGCTTTAAATATTTCTTCCCATCATACAACAAACAAAAAAGCCATTGAGGCTAGAGTTCTGTAGTAGTACATATAAGAAACAAATGACGCATTTAATTAGGAATAAAAATATGTATAATGTAATTGATGGGAAGGGAAAGATTTCTTATTTTAGTGAACCATTTAAGCTTAACCCATGTGGACATTTATTCATTCTATACTACACAGGATTTCTAAAGTGCTTACATTTAATTTCTGATTGAGAAATGAGAATTCAGAAGTTCTAAAAACTTTTTCCTAGTATATTAACATTCCAGAGACAAATAAGCTTTCCATATTTGTCAAAAAGCATACTATTGAATTGCATCTGTATGACTGGATTCAACTGACTTTTTTGGCCACATGTTTGATGTTTTGGAACTATTTATGAAACCTTGGGAACTAATCTAATGCCAATGTCAGGGCTTTTAATTCCTCAGAAAAAGTTCCTTTATAAAAGGAGTCACATTGAGAAGTCATTGAAATCAAGCAGATTAACATTTTCTTTCAGTTTAAATGACATCCTGAGTCTTCTGGGAATTCAATTGAAAGAGCTCACTACACTTTCTTGGTATGTACCTCGGTTTAAAAATATTATTTATTTTTATTTTATGCATATGAGTGTTTTGTCTGCATGTGGGTGGGTTGTGCAATGCCCATGGAGGCCAGAAGAGGGCGTCAGTTCCCCTGGAAATGGAGTTACAGATTGTTGTTAGCCACCACGTGGATGCTGGGACCCAAATCTGAGTCCTCTGCAAGAGCAACTAGTGCTCTTAACCACTGAGGCATCTCTCTAGGCCCTGCATGTCAGTTTTTAACAAAAGAAGTAAACCTTGTGATTCAGATGAACCCAAACCTCTATACAGATAAAGGGAAGAGAAGGCCTAGACGATGAGGGTCTAGACAATGTCCTTGGACTTTTAGGAACTTGGAAACGGTATGAGGGAAGACAAATAGTTACAGAAACCAACTAAACCAAGTTGATATCCATGTCACTCTTTCAAACCAGCCACAGAACCCTTTACAGCACAGCCGTTCTGTGCACTGTTGTCTTTAGATATCTGTCATGGGTCCATATCCAAGGGCCAGGGAGAACTATGAGGGAGGGTTATTCGCTCAAGGCCAATGTCAGTCAGAGAGGAAAGGATCCCCAAGGATTCCGCACACTCTCAAGCTCTCAGTTCTCAAGGAAGGACTTAATGTGTTGAGTTCCTTTTGTTGTAGAGGGTACTATTTCCAAACAGCATTTTTGTCCTAAAAAGTACAGCTCTGCAAAATATCTGGTGAATAACCAATATATTATTAGTTGGAGACAGGTTTCTTAAAGCTTTTGCAAGTTGGTGAAGGTTTCAGAGGGTACAATGTTTTGGACAGAGAACTCTGAAGACCAAATGGCAATGTTATATCTACTTAGGTCTTGGAGATGTTTAACCCAGCCTCAGAAACAGATGTACTTTCTCCTACCTGCATTGTGCTTTGCCAAATATTTATCTTTGTACTGCTTCTTTTTCTTGCCAAACCAAGTACAGCTGGCTTGCTGCTCTTGTTTGGTCTTCTCCATGGCAATGCAAGCTACTCGCCTAGTACACAAAAAAAGAAAGAAAGAAAGAAAAAACCCTCAAAGTTAATGCATGGTTTTATGGTGAAAAAAGGAAAAATTCATTCGAAGGCAATATAAACCAGCATGAGTATACTCATCACAGTCATTTAAATCACTCTTAAAGCCTGTTCTTTGTTTTTGGGAGAACTTTCTAGAAATATTTTCAAATCATAGGCTTACGGTAAAATTCTATTGTGTTTTTGAGCCCACATTAGCTGATAAGGGTCAGAAATTTCAACACATGGTGTTAAGATTCAGTACAATGATAATGAGTCAAGACAGGCCTGGTATGCATCCTGGTTTTGTTATTCATTAGCTGGTATTGAATGCTTAGTGCTTAGTGTTAGGCACATTGTCTATATGAATTTTCCATGTTAGGCACATTGTCTATATGAATTTCCCACTTAATCTTTCTAATGGCACACTGAATTGCATCATAAATTGCATGCAGATGAAGGGACTGAAGGGCTGAATTTTATACAGTTTTCCTGAAAACAACATAGGTAGAAAGTAGAACAGGGAGGGTTTGGATAGAGCTCAAGACCTAAGTTTGAATTTTTTTTTTTCCTTCTTGCTGAAGATTTATTTTATTTTCAATAAAATATTTTTTTTTAATTAGAAGAAGCATTTCATTACAACAGCATTAACCTATTCAATAACATTTTTCTGAGCTAGGGTACATCTCTTTCAAAATTGGTTGTACATTTTTAGGTTTACAGATGAACTTGAATTTTATCTGCAAGTTCTTGAGCCTCTCAGAGCTTCTCGGATGGATGTTGTAGACTATTAGGATCAAAAAGGTCATGTCCCAACAATAGCGCTAAGCACGCAGTACATGTTAAATAAACAGCACTAGTACGACATCATAATTCAATTTAAGGCAAGGAAACTGCTCTAATGAAATTGTGTTATCACAAATTATAATTAATTTTTTTCTTTAATGGTATTTTTAATATCTTAAATCTTTCATAGTCTTTAGAGAGAGTTTGCAATATGGTGGTCTCAAACTTTATAGTTTTTCATATTTTGGTTTACTATACTAGAAATAATTCTTGCTTATAGTATGAAGTAGGAGTCCAATTTCCTTTCTTTTTTTTTGTCCTCAAAATATATACCTCATTGTTCCAGCACTGCTGTGCAGTGCTATCTCTGTTACATATAGAGCAGCCATTTATGTATGGGAGTGCTTTAAGAGTGTCTTTCTCTTCAAGTTGATTTATTTGAGCATCTGTAAACCCAGATTTTATTTCAATTACTATACCTTTATGAGTTTTAGTATCTGATTGAGAAAGACCTCTTTCTTTAAGAGCATCCTGGCTATTCCTGAATTTGTACATTTCTATGGACCATCGTTTTCTGATTTATGTGGTGCTGGGGATCAAATCCAGCACCTTGTGTAAGCTAGGCAAATACTTTTGCAACTGAATGACCTCCCTGGCCCTTTTAAAAAGAATATAGTATTATAGGGGCTGGGGAGATAGCTCAGTCAGTAAAGTGCTTGCAAGAGGTCTTGAGTTCAAACCCTAGAACCCATGTTAAAAAAAAGATGGGTATAGCAACACACTTGTAATCTCAGCACAGGGGAGGTGGAGCCAGGCAGATCCTTGGGGCTTGCTGCCAGTAAGAGATGCTATCTTAAAAACAAGACGAACGGCTCCTAAGGAATGACACATGAGGCTGTCCCCTGGCTTCCACATGCACTCATATATATATATATATATATGTGTGTGTGTGCATCCCCACATACCCAAACACGTGTGCGCGCGTGCACACACACACACACACACACACACACACACAAATATAGCATCGTGATGTTGCAGGTAATGCATGGCACTTAAAATTTTATTTTCTGTTCACGGTAAATAGGAATAGAATTGATTTTTGTATTATTGACTTTGTTTCAACAAGTTTGCTAAACTCTCACATCAGTTCTAATCCTTTATCTAGATTCTCTTTAATTTCTTTGTTTTGCAACAGGGTCACACTGTCTAGTCCAGGCTGGTATCAAACTCCCATCTTAACCTCCTGAGAACTGGGATTACAGATATGAACTACCTTGCCCAGCCTCCAAACTTCTATGAATCATATCACCTGCAATTTTTTCTCTTTGCAATAATGTTAACTGAAGGTCAACTGTAGATATCCTCTATCAAGGAGATTTTCAATTCATAGTCTTTAAGAGTTTTAATCATGATTACATGTTGGATTTGATAAAATGTGTTGTCTGTCTGAACCTATAGATATGATCATGTGGATTTTCTTCTTTAGTCTGTTAACATGGTAGATCAGGCTGGTTGATTTTCAAACGTTGAAACAGCCATACATTCCAGAGTCATGGTCCTTTATCCTTTCTTTTTTTCTTTTTTGTCTTTTTGAGACAGGGTCTCCCTGTAGCCCCAGCAGCTGGCCTGGAACTCACTATGTAGACCAGGCTGGGCTTGAACTCACAGAGATCCACCTGCCTCTCCCTCCCAAGTGCTGGGAATAAAGGCATGTGCCACCATGCCCTGCTGGTCTTTTATCCTTTCTATTGCTGGATTTAATTTTCTAATTTCACTGAGAACTTTTGCATGTGTGTTCATGAGGGTTACTAGTAGGTAATTTTCTTTTCTTGAATTTCCTTTATTTAATTGTAGGATCAGGGTAATGGTGGCATCATAAATAAGTAGGAGTAATGCTTCTCTGTTTTCTTAAAGAGACTGTCTCCCAAGTCTCAATCTCACTATTTATTGAGGGTTGCAATTATTTATTTGTGGTTAGAGAGAAGAAATTTATTGGGAAATATCATGAATTTTCTGTGACAGCATCAAATTCAATCTCAGCAGAATCTTTGCTCAGGGGATTCTTCTGGCAGAGCTCAACATGTGCTAGTGTTTACAGTCAGAGTTTTTCTGAGGGATAGGATAGTTGGAAACATGGAACATGTTGTTCTTTTTGAGGCAGGGTCCCCTTGTAGCCTTAGCTGGCCTGGAGCTCACTATGTAGACCAGGCTGGCCTTGAACACACAGAGATATGCCTGCCTGCCTCGTGAGTGCTGGGATTAAAAGCGTGTACCACCACACAGGGCTGTGAAGATTTTTTTTGACAGTTTTAAAAAGACAAAATTCTGAGTGTATGAAGCTTATGTTATAATGTGTAGAGAGTCTTATTATAAGTGTTTTTATTTTTTCTGAGACAGGGTCTCATGTAGGTCATACTGGCTTTGAACTCACTATGTAGCTTGAACTCTGCTCCTTCTGCTTCCACCTCCCAAACACTGTATTTCAGGTATGTGCCATTAAATATTTTTAAGGCTAAAACATCAAAATAGCAATTCTTAGTTTAAAAAAAATTGTGGTGTGGTTACATTTGGTGTGATGATAGTAGAATGAAACTGACTTTTACCACTCAGGAAATTAATGCTATTTTTCTGGAATTGCCTCATGGCCATCTGCAATCTGCCTTCCTTTTACCGCCATCCTAACCACTGCCACCCTTATGTAACCACCACCACCCTTATGTAACCACTGCTACTACATAGATTGGCTGGAAGCTTCCCAAAGTTTCTGTGAGAGGACAGCATGTCCTCTTTTTTGGCTTGGTCTTTCACTTAACACAATGATTCTAGGTTTCATCATATTGTTGCATATATCCATAGGTGACTCCTTTCTATTCCTGGCAGGCATTCCATTGGATGGATGTACCACCCCTGGCTTTTTCATTTTCCTACTGATGAAATTTTCTAAAAGTCATTCTAATTGGTGTGTGGTCACTGAGATTTTAATTTTGTTACTGCTTCTCTCCCTCTTGGAGGTTCCTTCGGTGCTTTTCTAAATCTGTTATGTCATTAACATTTTTTTTTGTGTTCCCTAAAGATGTATCCATCCAGATATCTATGGGTTTTTTGTTTTGTTTTGCTTTCTTTTTGCTGGGGGATGAACCTAGGACTTTGTACATGCTAAGCAAGTGCTCCATCACTAAGCTATAACACTAGCCCCCTAAAGATAATTTTCAAACTTATAACTGATTTTTAAAAAATTTGGTAATCCTAATTTAAAAATCTTCACCTCCTAATTCCAGAACAGGAAGTGGATTTGGGTTTGTCTTTCTGTCATTTCTGCTGGGTCTTGTTTCCTCGTGTGCTTTGGTGATTTGGTCTTGATGGTCAGAGCCCTGGAGAAAGTTTATGTGGGGGTTAGGATGAAGTTGAATTTAAGATAAAAGTGTTTCCTTCAGAAACTTTCTTTTTTATTTTTACTTTGTGTGTGTCTGTGCACATATAGAGGCCAGAGGTTGGCATATGTGTCTTCCTCTATTGCTTTCTACTTTTTTTTTTGGTCTTTTTGAGACAGGAGACAGGGTCTCTTTGTAGACACTTGAACTCACAGAGATCCATCTTCCTCTGCCTCCTAAGGGGATTAAAAATGTGTGCCACCATGCCTAGCAGCTTTCTACTTTTTTTAAGGTAAAGTTTCCTCCTCCTCCCCCTCCCTCCCTCTTTTTTTTTTTTTTTTTTTGGTCTTTTTGAGACAGGGTCTCCCTGTAGTCCCAGTTGGCCTGGAACTCACTATGTAGACCAGGCTGGCCTTGAATTCACAGAGATCCACCTGTCTCTGTCTCCCAAGTGCTGGGATTAAAGGTGAGTGCTACCACACCCGGCTTAAGGTAAGATTTCTTATTGAACTTGGAGCTTGCCTTTTTAGCTAGACTGGCTGTCCAGCAAGATCCTGAGATCCACCCATCTCTGCTCTCCAGCAATGAAGCTAACAGATGCACACCACCATACCCAGCTTTTACATGGGTCTTGGGGATCTAAACTTAGGTCCTTAGACTTGAGCAGCAAGCATTCTACCCACTGAGCCATATCGTCAGCCCCTCTGCAGAGACTTTCTTTGATCTTATACCAGAGATCTGGAATTATTAGTAAGGAAAGGGGAAACCTCAAAGGAAGTGCATAGCTTGAGTTTCTCTGGTTGCCTGGGTGCACACGTGTACCTCTCCATTCAAGGTAGACTGGTGGCCACACATTTTTCAGATCGGTTCCCCTTTATTTTCATCTTTGGCACTGTCTAGTGATCAAGCAGCCATCTCTTCAGTCTCCTGATTGAAGGAAAGAAAGGATATCTGCTCTTTTTTATTTTAAGACTGGTTTTGCTTTGTAGCCCTGGGTGGCCCTGAATTGACTATATAGGCCAGACTGGCCTCAAATTCACAATTCGCCTGCCTTAGCCTCCCAAGTGCTGGGATTACAGGTATATGTTTCCATGACCAGCCTCTGTTTGTTCTTATCTTGGGGCTATCAGTTTCTACAGCCCTAATTAACAATGTGGGGAAAGTATCCTAGCAGATTCTCCATGTGGTTTTGGACTTAGGTTTTCATCTTGGCCCTCTGGTATATAATAGCAAATGCTTTCTTGGTAAAAATGGGGTAACTTGGTACTCTAATAATTTGTCTACTTATCACTCTGATGAAAGGTTCTCATAGAAAAATTGGTTGCTGAGTTCCCCAGTATCCTTTGAGCTATTCAGTGCTTTCAAGATCATCAGAAAAACAAGCAAGCAAGCAAGCAAACAAACAAAAAACTCCAAAACCAAACCAAAATAAAACCCAAACTCTTTTTTTCTGCAGTATTTTTGGTCTTTTCTTTTCAGCAGGAAGTTCGAGGTAAATAACCTAGTCCTGGAGTAAGCAAAAGAAGATGCAAATCTACTTTTTTCCAGGGCTTCTCAGGATTCTTCCAGAGGACTAAGAGCTCATGATTTATAGGTCATGTGACAAGGGAGAAGTCTGGAATTCACAAAATTATTTCTTTTCTTTTTAAACAATTTTTTTTTTTTGAGATAGGTTCTCACGTATCCCAGGCCGGCCCTGAGTTTTCTATATAGCCAAGGATGACCTTGAGCTTCTGATCATCTGCTGGGATTATAGGCTTGCAACTATCACACCTGATTTATTTAGTCCTGGGGATCAAATCCAGGGCTTCATGCAAACTAGCAAGTATTCTATCAACTAAGCCAAATCCTCAGCCCACACATAATTATTTTGAATAAATGCTTATAATATATGATAGCTCTCAAGAATACGTTTTGTAAAATCAAAGTTTCATTCACAGTAGCAGCATCCAAATATCTTAGAAAAATGCTTTCCTCCTGCTTATGCTAAACTGTTTCCTGAAGATCAGACTGAAAGACAATGCCAGATGGCAGGCTGTTGCTTCTCTGTTTGGGCCCACGGTTCCCCATGTGTAACATGATGCCATCTGAAATCCTCCTCCGCTCCAACAATCTAAATTTAAGAATATTTTTGGGAAACATGGGATAGCTGAAAGAGGCAATCAACAAAAGAGATTAGCTGAGAGAACTCTTAAATAGTGAGAAAAATGGATAAAAAGACAGAAATATCTATTGACTTAATATCTTTGGTTCCTTTTAATTAAGTTAAAATTTTTTTAGGGAGAGTGGCAGAATTCTAATTGTTG